TCTTAAACATCTCGGCCCACTTGCTACTCAATACTTAACATACCTTTTTAATATCTCTTTGTCCGAAAACATTATCCCCCAAATTTGGAAAAATTCAAAAATTGCACCGCTTCCAAAGCCCAATAAGGATCTTAAACAATCAACATCTTACAGACCTATATCCTTACTCTGCCCAGCAGTTAAAATTCTGGAGAGGCTCGTTCACCCCATCTTTACCAAACATCTCCCCAACGCCAAACACCAACACGGCTTCCGCCCTTTTCACTCCACCACCACAGCTCTCTCCACTCTCGAATTTTACATTTCAGACGGTTTTAACCAAAATCGCCCCCCTAAACGTACGGTACTGGCCACACTTGACTTATCTAAGGCTTTCGACATGGTGTGTCATCGCTCACTTGTGGAACTCGTTCATGACACTCCCCTCCCAAGAAGTCTAGTCCGCTGGCTAAGTAATTACCTTAATGGTCGACAGGCTGCCACCTCATTCCGTGAACACACATCCCCCCATCGAATAATCCACTGTGGCGTACCCCAAGGTTCTGTTTTATCACCCACACTCTTCAATTTTTATGTCCATGATGCACCGCCACCTCCCGATAATGTAAACCTTGTTTCGTATGCAGACGATTTCCACCCCTTCGCAAGCAGTTCCAATATTGATATCGCCTCAAACTCCCTCAATAGCTACCTAAAAAGGCTCTACGATTTTTTCACCTCACGCAAACTAAGTTTCGCGTCCTCTAAAGGATCAGTTACACTTTTCTCCTCTTATAACAAAGAATTTAATAAAACACCTAGTGTTCTTTTAAATAACGAGGCGCTACCCCTAAACAAAAATCCAACAATCTTAGGGGTGACATTTGATCCAACACTTTGTTTTGCCACTCACTGCAAACAATCCGCTGAAAAGGCCAGACGCAGGATCGGAATCCTGAAGGCATTAGCAGGATCAACCTGGGGTCACTCCAAAGAAACCCTCCTCCTAACTTTTAAAGCTTTAATTCGCCCCATACTTGACTATGCAGCCCCCGCATGGTCCCACGCATCAAGTAACACCTCCATAAATTGCCTGCAGGTTGCCCAAAACCAATCCCTTCGCGTTGTTACTGGATCAAATCTAATGAGTTCAACTGCCCACCTGCACAGTGAATCTGAAATCCTAACGGTCAAAGACCACCATACCCTTCTGTCATCTCAATTTTTTATCTCTACCTATCGTTCCCACCATCCCATTAATTTTATACATTCACATCCCCCTCCTCCCCGTCTACTTCGCCCCTCAATTATAAGCTGCTTCAAAGAAGACACCCAGAAAATTTTAACCGACTTTTCAGTCTACGCAAACCACCCTCTAGTTCTGGACGACCGAGACGAAGTCTCCACTTTTATTTTTAACTACTACAAACCAATTTTAAAAGACAACCATACCTCCCTTGTAACCAAGTTCCTAGCCGAAACCCCTCCGTCTAAAGTTATTTGTATCCCTCCCCCAAAGATTGACCCCTCTGAAAAATCTCTCCCACGTCCCACGCGCTGTAAGCTCTCCCAACTCCGGTCTGGCTACAGCCGGCTCCTTAACACTTACCTATCCCGCCTCGACAGCTCCATCTCCCACCTTTGCCCAACCTGTTCCCTTGCCCCCCACACAACATGTCACCTTTTCAACTGCTCCCAAAACCCCTCCCCACTCACCCCAGCAGACCTGTGGCTTCGGCCGGTAGAGGTTGCTAAGTTCCTTGACCTGGAGACAGAAGAGCCCAACCCGACCCGCGTGGGCTAACAACAACAACAACAACAAGACGGAAGTAAATCCTGCGTTTATAAATCCTTCGTTTATTAACTGTCCAGTTAGTTTGCCTCAAATAAATTTGGAACGATTGTGAGTGCGGGATATTTTGCAGCACGTAAATAATTCGCGTATGAGCAAATATTGTTCAGTTTCTCAACAATTTCAAACTAGTGCAAGTTCACTCGCTAGTCAATCCGAAACTTTTCTGACTGATTCTCGCACGCTGTAAATTTTCTCTGTAAAATAGGTATGAGTAAAAACAACAACTCAAGCATACATATTTCTCACGTTCTCGAAAGTCGGAATAACACGAATGCTCCTATCAGGTGAAAACCATAATTGTTATCACTTCCCTTCAGAATTCATGGAATAGTTTTTGTTAAAATTTTAGATGAACTTGAAACTTGATGAATATTCAAAAAAAACGTTGTTTTTTTTTAATCTTCCACCACGCTCTATGAAAAAAAAACAAAGTGATGCAGTTAGCGTATAGCATTGTAATATTAATTTCAAACACTTGCCTCGTGTAAGTTTGGAATAATTTTGAGCGCAAATAGGTAGCCGCCTACGCCTTAGTACCGCAAAATATATCGAGCCTTAGTTGTCTCAAATTAGCTAAGTTGGCTATTTTTAAACCTCTCAACTTTACGGAAATTGATTGTAGATGATAATTATAAATATTTGAACTTAAAACGTCAATAACTTTCAAATGGAATAGAAAAAGTCCGTTTGAAAGCAGCTAGTTTAAAATGTCAAAACTTTGACTTATGAAAAAAAACCTCGCCTGGCTAAACAATGTTATTCTCTTTGAAAGTCGAAACAAACTCAGACTATTTTTTTTTTAAAAAACTGGGTTATTTGTAGTTTGAACATGACGAAAAAAAACATTTGCGGGAAATTTAACTGGAATCTCTTTATGGACAGTTCACTAATTTTCACCCAAAATGCTTCGCTCAACTAGTTTTTTGTAAGCTTGCACAAAAACAATTGAGCTATTTCTTCATTAAAGCATTCAAAAAATTAGTCCCATTAATGGCCGAAAAAATCAATTTGGATGAAATTTTTGATGCGTAAACATGTAATGCGTAAAAAAGGCCGTTTTAATAGAATAGGATAAATTTTTAGAGCGAACATAGTTTAGGAAAACTTTTTACCAATTGTGTTTTTTTTCATCATCATTTGGCCAAGTATGAGTTTTTTCGTCATCATTTTTGGCCACGCATGAGGCTCACTTTTATGCAATTCGTTCGACAATTAGTCCGGCATTGTTGCACTTTTTGATCTTAAAGTTATATGTTATTTTTTAGAGAGAAGCGCAAATAGGAAAACGCGATCCTTTGTCTAAATTTTTAAACCTTCCAATAATGCCCGAAAATGGCGTTTGTGGCATACTTCGCCTAAATAGTGCCTGGTTAAGTTAAAGAGCGTTTTACAAGTGTTTGTGAGAGTTCAAACTTTCAATGTGGTCGATCAAAGAAGTATTCAAAAAAATTTTAATTTTAAAACCACCCCTCTCCTAGCAAAATCCTAGATCTGCCTCCTTTTTCATTGTGTTGATTATTTGAGTATTTGTCTGGAGGTTTTCTTGCCGGCTACTAATGTGTGTAAAACATGGAATTGAGTATTGTTTTCTTTGAAAAATCTGCAATCCAGAAAGCATTTAGATTGGTTTTGGTGGAGACCTTTAAGCTTATCGGTCAAACTAGTAAATTCAAATCTATAATAATCTAATTTAGACGCGATTGTCAATCAAGGTGAATTTAGTGGTATTTGTGAACAAACTTCATTGCAAAGGTCACCTTCTACTGGTTGTGCAGTTCAAGTGTGTGTAAATTCCGAGCGATTTGGGCAAACATTCGTTTTCATGTCGAACTTATATAGCCTGAACTGAAAGTTTTTGAAAGAAAATCAACACCATATAAGTTGCAGCGTGAAATTAGCCGACTTAACCAAATTGAGACACAAATTGCGTAAAGTAAAATAAAAAAACATTAACTTTTAAACAACAAAAACAGCTAATTTTTTTCGTAAAAACGGAAATTCGGGTATTTTTCTGATCTAATTTGTATATTTTTCAGGTGTAGTCTAGCTGCCTAGATTTTTTACTACTATTCTTAGCGAAAGAGTTTATTGTAGAAGAAAACTCTAATTTTGAATCGTTCTACAAAATTGAATTCGTCTCTGCTTATCAGTTATTTGATGTGTGTGATTTGCTTGTTCGGGTAATATTTGGCATCTCATTTGACCTTTTAAGTGGTGATGTCCGAAGTTGGATTTACCTCAAAAGGTCAACAAAAGCGAACTTTGAGATAAAAATAACAAGATGAAAGAGATTTAAACTCAACTTAGTTCGCAATTTAGACTTTGGATTTGAGATTAAGAATTAAACTACTAACTAAACACACCCCTCTAGAGTAGTGTAATTAATGATTTGAAGACTGGGTGGGGGGAGGGGGGCTGAGGAGAATTCTCTATCCAAACGAACAGAGATTTTCGCTTCGTTTTGAAATTTCTTATCCTGACAACCGTGATTTTTTTGCTGTCAATCCTACAAACTTTTTGCAGTTCTCATAAAATTTAGTATATAAACCGAGGAATTACTGGTATCTAAAAACACAAAGTTGATCTGTTCAGATTTTCAGCTCGAATTCAACCAAGTGTTGATTCGATTTAGTTCAAAATGGCCTTCATTTTCTATGCATCGGCTCTCAACTGAGAAGCAGGAATCAAAAAGTATTATTTTGTCAACATGATTTGCATAAATTTCTAAATATCCACTGAATTATTCTATCTCCCGGTAGACGACAAGAGTTTTTTAATGGCAGAAAGTTCGGACCAAGTTAACATCCTCCCCCTTAAACCGATTTAGGAGGGAGGATGTTAGCTTGGTTCAAAGCTGGAATTATTAGCTAAACAATTCTTGTTAACGATTCACCCCTCCTAACAGTTTGTTTGATTCCAAAACATGGCGTGTTGTGAATCACAACAAATAGCGCCATTCAATCCAAATCAATTCAACCGTATTCCGTGTCTGAAGCGGTTGAAAAAATGCAAAAACGTGCAAGATTTAGGAAAAATAAGCTGGTACAAGAGCTGAACAGTTTTTGTTTCTCTTTAGTGGAAGAATGGAAGTGGAATTGCGAACAAAAAATGATTTCAATGGAATGCGACGACGTATCATATCATTGTTTTTATTTTATTTTTTTTCCATTTTTGTTTAGGAGGTCATTTATCTTGCACATGTGTGTCTGTGACACTTGTTTGTTCACGGGAGGAGCTCCCCTCACTCACAATTACAATTACCCCGCCGACAGTATCTAAGAGCAGAGAAATAATTGAAAAGCACGTAGAATAAGGAGAAAAATAGAAAAACAACAAGGGAACGACAGTTGTTTGCTGAAACGAAACTACAGTTCAATTTTTGACTTCTTATTTTCAATTATTTTCTCGCTCTTTTTCTCTCGGTCTCTCGCTTTTGTTGCGTTTGTTGATTCATCAAGCCATCTTGTTTATTTGTGATTATCAGGTTGTTCAAAAAGAAAAAAGCTGAAGAGCTTTTACCTTTCATACAAATTTTCATCAGGTGAAAATTTGAGAGCGTCTGTTTGCAGTTTCATTCGAATATTTAGAACTGAAACAAACTCAAAAACAAAAATTGATTATTTATCGCGTACCTACTAAATTGGTGCAAAAATTGGTGCAAAAAATACAAAACGTTCATAACTTTTTCTCAATTCAAAACGTTTCTCAATTTTCTCAATAGTCCTTCTTTTTCGTGTGTGACAAGAAATCGTAGTTCCTGCTCTTCAAAAGTTTCCGCAAGGTTCGTACAAAATCATCACGTGTTGTTCAATTTTCAGTTTGCGTTTCAAGTAGCATGAAAAATTATACAAGCTTCTTTGCTTTCTAAATATATTTTCATACGTTTTCGTAAATATATTTCGCCAACTTCAGGGCCATATTAAAAGAAGTGGTATGGTATACCATCCTCTTTTCAAGTTGGGTTTATAAAAATTGAGCTCTTCTTGATTTTGATTTCGAACCATGCAAAACCTCTCCTGAATTTTCGACTGCAGCTTGAATCAGGACAAGTTTTTCGCATGAGACCTCGCTCGAACCTGTCTCAAGCTTAATTTAAGCAACTGATTTTATGTTAAACAAAACCCGAATACAATGTTTCATCCTCCGGTAGATCTAAAAAAAAGTTTCAAACATTTTTTCAAAAAAAATGTCTGGAAAATTTGCGTTGCCGCGGCAGCTCAAATAAGGTCAGAAAAGGTTTTCACTCCAAATTATTTTGCCGTTATTTGTAGCTCCTTATACTGAATAAAAAAGAAGAGAAACAGTAAAGTTCAAAAGTGGTAATATCTCAAAAAATACTTTCAAAAAAGGATAGCCGGTTACTGTGCAAGTAGCACAGAACTTTCCGACCACAGTTTTGAATTTTCAAGTTTTTGATTCCCAAAATTGCGCTAAAAAACTCCAAAACTACTTTTACTTGAGTAAAATTAAGTTTTCACGGCTTAAATTAAGCTTAAATAAGCTATTGCATTTATTAACTACCTCACTAATCAGCTCGAAGTTAGACCAAAAATCAAAAATTTCACATCGGTTTTTCTCGACACTGTGAAAACTTTTTTGAAATTTTCAAATGTGTCGTTCAAATCACGACTAAAAGTGCTTCAATATGATAGATCACTCAATCTTGTCCGATGATTATTTGTGGCAGCTGATTTTGCTTGGAAAACAAAAAGTTGAAAAAAAACTAAAACACCCGAATACAAAGTTCCTACCCATTTTCAATGGTCGGAACAACAATCTTGCTAGAGAAATTCATATGCCATAAAATTCATTTGGTTGCACAAGCGAAGCGTAGTATATTAGTAGGCAGAATTTTTTCTAAACTAACTCGCAAATAAGAGAGTTCCTTTGGTGGCACTTTTGGTATATTGCAATTTAATCATAATTAAGCTTCTTTAAGCATAATAATGGCAAATGTTGCTGCTTTATTTTTGGCTATTGTTAGGTCCTGTTTTAAAAAGTACATGTATTATGAAAACTTATGGGATTTGTTGTTTAGTTTTTTTTGCGACGCTTGGAAAATTTTTGCACTTTTCGCAGAACTTTTCAATAGGGGGATTTTTGGTATATTTGATTTGAATTCTTCATTTTCTCAAAATATAGAAGCACAAATCTAAGATGAAAGTTTCAATAAAAAGAAACAATTTATGGGGCCTCGCCTTCTCAAGCAACTATTCTGTTAATTTGGTGGGAAAAAAATGTTTGGCCTCAAACAAGCCCATTTTTGATATTTTGGTTTTTTTTTCTCAAAAGGGTGTTATTTCTCAAAAACTATCCGGCTAAATCGTAGATTAAGGAATTTACCCAGAAAAAAATCTTTTATGCGAATCTGATCTGCGCAAGCGGCCATGCCCTTCTTTTTGAAAAAAAATCTGGCCTTAGAAAATGACCAATTTGTGAAAGTTTGCCCGTTTTTTGTAAATGTATTCTTTTTTTTTCTTCAAAAAGTAAGCTGCTGATTTTGATGTTGATAGTTCATTGAAACTAACATGGTAAACGACTTTTCCCTGCGCAATATGTTTTAACCTGTTTTGTATAGAAAAGCTCATATGGACTTCGGAAAAATTATTTTTTAAGTTCTTACCGTTTTTTAGTAATTGAGGCACTATTCTCGAAAACTCCTAGCTAAATCTGATATTCAGTGTTCAAAAATGAGGGTGCGTAATTCTTCAATCCAAAATTCAGATTGTGGAAAGCAGAGGCTATTCCTTTGCTTTAGAAGAGAAAAGATTATGAATCTAGGCAGCACAGCAGTGCGGAAGTTCAACAGTGCCGAAAATAATTTTATTGTTAATCAGTGCCGAAAATCTTTTTTTTTTTCATTTTCGGCAATGTTGCACTTGGGCACTGTTGAACGCCCCCAACTAAATCAACCAGTGCTATCAGTATGTTGTTCTCAGCATTTATCCAAAAAATATTACAGAATCGCAAAAGTACGAAATTTGGGTGGAATAAGTAAAAAGATTTGATGAAAATTTTTGGTCGATTTGATGAAAATTACTCAATAAAGGGCTATCGCAATATGGGTCAACTTGTAAATTGTCATATATCAATTGCATTGAGACAGCAGCTTCAGTCGGTGTTTCTCAACCCAGTTATTTGTCTAAACTTTTCTGTTGAAAATATCCTCTGATCTCTAGACTTTACTTTTCGCAACTTTTGCTATGTTGTCATGTATCCGTTCTAAAATGATACCAAAAATGCCTATTACACACGGTTAATTTCCTTTAGAGGATAACACCGGCTTACAATGCCCTCAGAGCGAACGATTCGATGGTTGCTAGAATTATAAAAAGCGACAGCAGAAAGAGCACGGCTGTGTATTTTTGAGGCAGGCAGCAAGTCGAATTTCGATCAGCAGTACATCAAAAAGTTTTAGTCAAAAAATTACTTTGATGCATAATAGGGTCTTTGCAGTGTTTTGGGCGTGCTCGGAACAATCTATTTGGAAAGAAACAAAAGAGGAAATAAAGAAAGATAAAGCTAAAGAAAGAACATCAGCAGGGTTAATATTAGAGCATGATAGCAGAGCATGATCCAACATTAAAAAGGCAAACTTCAAAGTTCGGACAGTGTTCGACGCATTTTGACACATTATTGTGAGCAATTGTGAGAAAAAAAACTGAAAAACGAAAAACTATAAGATAAAACCGTCGGAGGTGGGTTTTAGATGAGCTGTATTCATTTTTCTCTGCACTAATTTAACAATCTGCTTTTTTGATAAAATTGGTCCCATTTTTGAATAAATTTTTTTGTTTTCCATATCATTATTTTGAGGGCACGGAACGGGTATAACCGAAAAGACTCATTAAATGAAAAGGTTGTTCGTATTATGCAGATGCCTTCATTGTTCCAATTGCCCTTTAGTTTTTCCTTATAACTTTTTGTCCTCAGTTTTTTTCCGGTAATAAAAGAAATATTTTGTTGACTTTTCTTCTTCCATCAGCAATATCATTTAATCAGTTGCAGTGATATAACTTGAGGCTAATGAGGAATTATTAGCATTTGAAAGGCTGGAGAATTTTTAAGCATCAAATTTACCCTTAAAAGCGGCAATCATAATAACAGTCTTCTGCCAAATCGGCGCCCATGCATCATCTATAACTCGATTTCGTCTAGTATTTTTTAAATTTCTTGTTTCCTCTACCTTTCCTCGTACTGCTTCAATAATTGATTCGATTTGATGGCCGAGCGGCGAAAACAAACAAACAGTTGGTTGTTTGGTGTGAACAAAATGGTAAATCATTGATTACTCTTCTCTTTTTTCTTCCTTTCATGCTCTTCGCTGTTTTCCTTTTCGATCATCCAAACCGATATTTGTTCACACCGCCACCATTTTTTTTTCACTTCATTCCTCTTTATCATCGTACATTAAAAAAGAATGGGAGCTACTGTACTGCGATGGCTGACGTTTTCAAAATTTGCAACCAATCAAAAACCTTTAAATTGACCAAAACTGCTTGTTTACAGATTTTTAAGCTGAAAATTCCTGAAAAATCATTGGATTGTTTTTCAAAAAAATAGAGCACAGTGAGACCTGTGAAAGAAAAAGAAGCGGTCCAAAAGAAGAATTACTTGAATAAATGTTACGCAGCTACTAGTTTTTTGACTAATGTCTACGCCATTTTTTCGGGTTCTTGTAACAATAATCGAAGGCCTCGTCAAAAAAAAATGTTACATTTTTGAGATCTTGTTATATATCCCCCCATTTCGATTTTCAGAAATTCAAATTTGGTGGCCACATTTTCAATAGCTTAAAACAATTTTCAGAAAATATATATATTTAAAAATTTTTACGTGGGTATTATATAAATAGTGAGTAATACAAATACGAACGCGCGAATGTGAAAACTCACTTAATTGTTGACATTTTTGAAATGCATATTTAATGCAGAAATGGTTGTCAAAAATAATACATGCATAGGGTGGAAATTGTTAACTAGGTCCAAAAGGGGGGGGGGGATAGTTAACAAGATCCCATTTTTGCATTTCAAAAATTATTTGATTATAAAGGAGATGCCTTCTCGTTCTAGGACAGGGCTTGGAGCGGCACACAAAACAAATTTAACAGACTGAAGTTATTTTGAGCGTGTGGGCGTCAAATGTATCAAAATATGTCCTGAATTTTTTGCAACAACCATCCCGCTTTAAAACTTACATTTTTCATTGCCCGAAAAACAATAATATTTGGCCGAGATGGGGGCATTCAACAGAGCCGAAGTACAAGAGTGCCGAAAATAAACTGATTGTTCAACAGTTCCAAAAATGATCATTTTCGGCACTGTTGTACTTCGGCACTGTTGAACGCCCCTTTTTGTATATTTAACAAGTGGCATCAATTAAAATGGCCACTTTTGACTTTTCAACTTCAGTCGATTTGAATTAATTTACTTGTAAGAGATTTGGGATGAGTAAAAAAAATCAAAATAATTTTCGGCACTGTTGAACAACATTTTGATTTTCGGCACTGTTGTACTTCGGCAGTGTTCAAAACTTACATTCTTTTGCCCGAAATACAATAATATTGGGCCGCTATCGCGACGAGATTGTCTTTCTTCCACTCATAGAATAAACGCAGTTTGTTTTTATTGTGTTGTCTTTTTTCGCGCTCTTGTGCCCTTTCTAGACCGGTATTTCAGCAGACCAATCTTTTAGCATAGAAAATGGAAACAGATCAAAAATGGAAACAGGTCTTTTAGCAGATCAACATGCAACTGATTCACACGCGCACTACGCCAGATT